CTTTTCCAGGACTCAAAGAGACCAGAATCTCTCATGGATATGCATCACAAAAAATTAAAGAGCAAAGCCACAGAAGATAAGAACAAGCCTCAGGAGAGAAGGCCATTTGATCGAGATCAGGACCTCCAAGTCAATCGATTTGATGAAGCTCAGAAGAAGGCTCTTATCAAGAAATCCAGAGAGCTAAACACCAAATTTGAACATAGCAAAAGCAATATGTTTCTATAATGCAAAAGACATGAAGTTGAGGTGAAGTATATTAAACATTAAGTATTTCTTCAGTATTTTAAGTACCTTTTCTGTAAATATCTTTTTCTATTTGTATGCAAAATAAATATCTTAATGATTACAAAGAATATGGATCTGAGAGCTGCTTTTCCCTACCTATAAATACTTCATGTAGGAAAGACACTTAAGCCAAAATAAATAGATAAAGAGGAGTTCGTATGTATTACATAGCTGCTGTTTAATTAAGTTCTATAATTTTTTTTTTTTTTAATGTGCTAGGCCACTTCAGAATATCAGTGGTCAAAATATCAGTGGTGTAGTTGAAAGTAAAGTGTGTGTATGTGCAAGTAGGAGGCAACACAACTGACTTCACAATTGTGTTGATTCTTTTTCTGCTCTCTCCTGCTGTTCTCTAAGACCTGCTCATGGGTCCTAAGTCAAAGCCCATGGAAGTCCATAGAAATGTTCCTGTTGATTTTCAGGAGACTTTGAATCCAGACTTTGAGTTCTGAATTGGGAGCCTACCGGAGCTCCTGCTGGGAAGTATTAACTATATGGCAGCTTTCACCTTATAACAAGGTAGTGCTTTTCTGAAATGAAGTCCATGTGTGTATGTGTTTATGTATATATAATTCTTTAAATATTGTATGCAATACATTTTACAGATTTTTATCTTTTTTTTTTTTTCTTCATTTCAAAGCAATGTTCAAGGTATAGGATCTGACATGTGATTCTGATAGCCTTCTTTGGGATTACACAAGTGTAAAACAAGGCCTAATTTGGTCTGTAAATCTTTTTTGTTAATAGTGATGTATAAAAACCCAATTTAGCTCTGAACCTGGGTTAAACTTGCGGGACTTCTCAGTCAGAAAATTCATATTGATTTATAACTGAACAAATGTGATTTGGTAATCAAAACATAATAAGCAAGAAGCATAATGATGCTGTTGCAATTGTCTTTTAGAACATACTCATACTTTTTCAGAAGAAAGAATCTTGCAATTAAATCTGAAAATCCAGCCCAGCACTTTCCTATTTTCAAAGATGTTCTGTTACTGTTTTATTACTCTTTATGGTATAAAAGTGGAAGCAAGAGTGCAAACCTGTATTATCAATATTAACTCCTTTTTATTGTATTTTAAAATGGAATATATGAGCTTAAATATTGTCCTTTTTAAGGAAGTATTGAAAGGAACAAAGGGTATCCCTGTCTATGTACACAGTTTGATATAATAGATTTTAATGACTCCTTTGGAGGTAATGTGCATCCTCATAGCATATGTTAACTATAGTATGGCTCGTGCCATTGTTCAAAAAGAGCTTCAGTGATGTGCTAGATCCAGGTTTATTTACTTTAATATATCAACCTAACATACCATATGCTGCCATGTTTTTAGTCATTAGTATATTGAATTAATTCATAGATCGTGAGCATGTATCTAAAATAGGCTGGAAATTGTTATTTTTTTAATGCAAAAAGTTAATGTTTATGTGCACACTCTGACTATTTTTAAAATGAAATTGTTTTGGAAACAATTATAGAGAAACAATTTAGTCTTCTCTGCAAAAATGTCTTTTAGCATCGGTTGGTTTTGAATTAAGGCTTTTAAGATTTTTGAGGAGAGTTTGAACAAAAGCTTTGTGTCAGTAGCTTTTGTTTTTCTCACAGCACAGTACCTCTTAGTAAGGATATTGTCTTTTGAACTTCTCAGTTTCCTTTCATGCCTGGAAGCATCACCTCTTCTAACGTTAGGGAATAGAAAACGTTCCTACAGCAGCTACTAAATTGCTCATTTCAAAATGTAACATTAGGAAAGTAATATATTCTTAACTTTCAGTGTGATGTAGAGCCAAATGCCAAGAGAAAAATGTAATGTCACGTGACCAGAGTTCTCTGTGGCCCACAGAAAATGCTTCTCAGGGTGCAGTTAGGAAATGGATACTTCAGTATCTAATGTCATGTTACACCTGAGAGATGAATTTTGTTGAAATTAAGTAGTTCCCAGTCACGGGACAATAGGACTGCTGGCATGAACGAGTCCCGTAGCCATGAAGTGTGTCACTGAGTGCTGAAGTTCATCTCTCACTGAGGTCAATGGATACATTGTGATTGACTTGTTGTGGGAGTTGCATTTGAATTTGAGTCTTAAGTTAGAAAAGTGGAGGGTTGTTATGAAAAGTGACGGACCTTGGGCTACAGCAGCACAAATGCAGCATTTCAAGGACTGTGTATTACATCGAGGCTTCAGTAATTAGAAATGTGTATCCCACACGTCAAGGAGGACTGACTGAAGCAAGTTTGGCAAATCATTTTCTTTGATCTGATTAATTTGTTTTTTTCTGAAGCCCCTCATTCTGGATTTGATGAAGTATGTGATGTAAACTCAAGCAGGGGAAAAAGTGGAAATGTTGAGTTTAAATTAAGCTTTTCATTACTGTGTGTAAATTGAGTAAACTTTTGAGTTGTATTAATACACAAATTAATCTCTTCCTACCAATGCCAGATCATCTCCTAGAACACTCATTAAAATAAACAGTAACTCAGTAAATTACAAGCTCAGTAAGCTTTTGTGTGAAGAGATGAGCTGTCGTCTTCAATTTGGGCAAGCTGAAAAGCATTTTTTGTTGAAATGCTACTGGGTGATATTCAGAATTTCATTTTAAAGACCAGCATTTTAGTTCATGGGGGGGAAAAATCCCTGGAATAATTACTGAGCATCATTTCTGGTAACCAGCTCCTAAAATGTACATAACAGCTTCTAAAATGTATATAACAGATTGGTTTAAGTGAACATGGAGAATGCATAATCCTGGGTTTAAAATACTTATCTTTGTGTTATGGAGCTCTAAAGAATTTTTTTATGCATTCATTAAAAACAAATTACAGTGGTATTTAACAGTGGTAGCCTCCTTTTGTGGATTGCAGTGTTTAAGATGTGAATCTGATTTGAATTTGGAAATTCAGACCAGAGTGAAACTAAAAGAAAGAAATGTATCCTGTTGCAGGTAAGGTATAAAGTAGGAAAAGATAACAAGAATTTTCAAGATGGATATTGGAATATAATGAGAAAATAAGAAGATAAATACAGGACCAACATGCAGCTGGTGAATCGTCTGTGTTGGAGGGAACAACTAAGGAGGCTAAGGATGTTTTGGGGAAACCATTTATGATTTTGTGTCTTCACCACAAGGCATTGAGAGATGATGATAAAGGTCCCAAATAACTACCTGAATTGAATACAGTAAAAGGTGGTAGATCCCCAAGGAAGGTGGTGTCATCCACTTCCCAATATAAACACATTGGGGAGCCTTTCTTTGCATGCCAATTACAGATGGGACGTGTGCTAATCAGGTCAGTTTTTCTTGCTGATGTCTGCATCTCACAAATAATAGGTATTGAAGGAAACAGTTACCTTTGGCTCTGAGAATGTAATTTTGGTCTTTAAATAAGGATGTATTTAAGATTGTCAATATAGCACCATCATTTGGGATTTTCATGTTCAGCAATGCATTTCTGTCCAGAAGAATTTTTTTTTTCCTCTCAGTGTAAAAACATTGTTTCAAACCTGGTCAGAAGATTCTGGGAATTGCCTTTTAGAGTAATTTGTTCTCTGTGGAAATTTCTTGTTTTCATTTAATGTCTTACAAGGTTAGTACTAACAGCATACAAAGTGACACTGGCAGTATATTAAAAGTCAAAATGGCAATAAGCTTTAAAACAGTGGTTTTCAAACTTTACAGAACTCTTTCATATCATTTTTCTGCCCTGCACCACTTACCCCTGGCTCCATGGGCTATGAAGCTGCCAGTCCCCTCTGTCATTACCCTCAATCTCTGCAGACCCCCTAATGACCTATTGCAAAACCCCAGGGTTCCACAGAACAGTTTGAAAACCACTGCTTAAAAAAATCAGTTTACCAAACTAAGGTGCACATAAAGTCTTAACTCTGACGCCTTCTGAATAACTAATGATAGTCCTTAGAACTTACTCCCAATTTAGAACACACTATTTTTTGATGGTTGTAAGTGCCATTTTAAAGCATCTTGTGGGCTTATGCTGCATTTACTTTGATGGCCAGATATTTAACATGTTATTTTCTAAAGATTCATAACAGCAGCAGATCAAAACTGTTATTCACAGGAGCAATTAACAGTGCTTCTCAATGTAATTTCACTTCCTCAACTATTTGTCGAAAAAAATCACAAGAATGATTGTGGTGGTGGTGCTTCAATAACATGGAGAAAAGTGGTTGAGTATTAATTCTAGTGCCTCTCACTTGATCTCAGCCTAGTTTAACAAGTGTTTATAAATTGTCCTTGTGTGTCTGCCAGCGCAGATGGAATTTTTATCCTAGAGATCACTCAGGCATAAATGTATGGCCCTAAGCTATTACATTCCTCCTGAATGCAGTTAGAATCCCCTCTGGTGCTTTCAGCTCCATTTATTAGGCGAGTGGAACTGCTAGCTTTGAGAGCATAGAAATTCCAAATTCACATGCCATTTTTTTATAGCTATATGCCATGGGGCTTCAGGCATTTGCCCTGTACAGTGTTCATATATTTTCATAACAAACATTTCACATCTTCTTGCTAACTCTGTTAGCTGTTGACACGAATTGCAAAAGCCCAAATAAGGCCGTCCTATCTTGCTACAGGTGGTGGGTCTGATGCTTCACTTTATTACTGTTATATTTTTCAATCCCATCATAAATCCATTAGTCAATTTGCACCAGTTTAAAACCAGCACGATAGGAGTAGTGAATCAAGTCCTTTTTATATCAGCCTATAAAGTTGGATCTTAAGGTCTCTTTGGTAGTGTAGAAAGCTGTCACTCTCCCAGGAGCAGCTGCAGCTGTAATTTCTTTCAAATGAGCAACCAAAGCATAAATATTCAAAAAGCAATTACAAATAGAAAAAAATAAAAACAGCTTATGGTCCATACTCTCAGCTGCTGAGCTCTGGAGCTCTTCATGGTATAGCTTCATGGAATTGCACCAGCTAAGGTGGCCCTTAATTTCAGGTCTCTGCTATGAGTTCAGAGACAATTTTTATAATCATCTATCTATGGGTTCTTTTATATTACTGAAAAATGGCTGCTAAATAATATGTCTACCCTACAAG